CCCCCCAGACACACACAGCACCCCAGATACACACACACAGCACCCCCAGACACACACAGCCCCCAGATACATACAGCACACACACAGCACCCAGACACACACACAGCCCCAGACACAGCCAGATACACACAGCACCCCAGATACACACACAGCACCCCCAGACACACACAGCCCCAGACACACACAGCCCCCAGACACACACAGCACCCCAGATACACACACAGCACCCCCCAGACACACACAGCACCCCTGAGACACACACAGCACCCCCAGACACACACAGCCCCAGACACACACAGCCCCCAGACACACACAGCCCCCAGACACACACAGCCCCCCAGACACACAGCCCCCAGATACACACAGCCCCCAGACACACACAGCACCCCAGACACACACAGCCCCCCAGACACACACAGCACACACAGCCCCCCAGACACACACACAGCCCCCCCCAGACACACACACAGCCCCCCCCAGACACACACAGCACCCGCAGACACACACACAGCACACCCAGAGACACATATATATATTATATAAAATAACCCTCAGTGAGTTAACAGACAAAGAAAATTAGAAACCTAGAAGGTGACGGCAGATAAAAACACCCTCACACACAGCACCCCTCTTACACAAACACACTGCGCACCTCACACATACAATACGTCCAAATACGTCCAAATATACACACACACACACTACAGCACCCCTCACACTGCACCACTACACACATTACGCTCCAAATACACGCTAGATCCCTTACCCTATATGCACTCTTAATCCTCTACACACATACACACACAATCTTCTATACACACTCTGGGTCCTTTACACACTAGATCTCTTACACACACACACTGCACCACCTACACACACACAGACTATATTCCTTGTAAGGAAAGACATACAACATTCTCTAAACACACCCTCTCTACAACCCCTACACACACTACGTCACCTATACATACACACTACTGCCCGTATGCACACACTCACTACATCCCCTATAACACTATGCCCCTATGCACGCACTCTCTACAGCCCCTAGCAACACATATTACACCTATTTACACAATACCACACCACACTCTACACACAGGCAATCCCACAAGCAGGCGCCAAACACATGCACCATACACTTTCCTGGCCCTTTTGTCCTCTGATATCCCACTTGTGGAGACATCAGAGACAATTTAAAAGCAAACACAGCGCAAGCATGTTATTACATTTGCTTGCGCTGCGCAGAACAAATACAGGGCCTTTTTCTAATGCCAGAGCTCTTCAGCGGGGCTCTGCACATTGAACCAACATGCTCACCTCGAGAGGGGGCGTGCTTGTCATTAGTGATGACAAAACACACCCCCTCTGGCCCCGCCCCCTTCTTGGGGGGCCGCTCTAATTGAAAAATGCCCGGGCCTAATTTTTTTCCCAGTCCGGCCCTGCTCAGAGTGCTATATATTGTCTCTTTATGACCACGTTTGGGTGGAAATACTGAAAACAGGGAGCCCTGTCACAAAGTTTCCCTGGATTGTTGTTGGGTCCGATCAGTTAATAAGACAGCAATCTGCTCTTGGGATCTTTTCAGATGATGACACTCGCTCCCTTTATAGGTTGGTTTCATGGGACAGCTGCCAGATTTAATCATTTTTTATATAATATTATATTATTTGCAGGTGAGTTGTTTCCTATCAGCACTCGATGCAGACTGTTTGCTCCTTAAAAGCCAACTTTAATTTTGTTTTTATTTTCATCATTAGATGAAGCTCTCTGTGTAACGACCAGCCTGCATTATGTTTGATGTTGGATAATTTACATGTTTGTCTATAATTTGTTGTTATTCCATTACAGAGAGTGTTGGAATATTAGATTTTTGTAAATAGATTACCAAGTTATTAAATATAAAAAAATAATAATCTGAATTAATCTGAATGTAGCTTTCTAAAAATTCTTCAAAAATGTAAAAATAACATTTGTATGTGGTCATTATGCAAACTCACAATAAGTAAAGTCACATCAAATATATACTGTGTATAATGAAGGGCTTTACAGGCTGCTATTGCAGTCTGCAAGGAATCCCTGTAGTGTGTTCAATGTGCTCAGAGCCCTCTCTCTTTAACCCAATCATTGGCTGCTACAATATAGCCATAAACCGCAGCCTATACAAGAGTTTGGGAGAAAGATGTACAACTGCAGACTTTCTCTGCAAATTGGAAAAAAAGCTGACAAAAAGTAGAATGCAACTGGCCTGTATATATCAAACATGAATGTTTACAAATATCCATGCTTTTGGGAGGGAATGGATCAATGACTGCAAAAATCTTTTTTTTTTTTTGTGATAAGCAAATCGTGTTTTCTCGTCATAGCAGTTGGTAACATGTTTGGTAAGTAAATCTAAATATCTAAAATACAATATAAAACATTCCTTTTCCTGCTATTAGAATTGTCATTCTGGTCTCACCGAGTGATACTGATTAAATGTAATGTCTGATTTCCCCATCCATGACCGGAGCATCTCTTCCAGGAGTCAAGGCAACGTTTTTATACCTGTTCCATGTTTATAATAACCATACAGCAGGTAAGTTACGGTAAGTTTTCAGTCTGTGTAATTTGTGGTTTATGTTACTTTGTTTTATGACTGAACACAAGGTCAGTAAATCTGCTATTGGTTAGCAATGTCCTCGAAGAGGACCCGGAGCGATGCTCCACCAATATTTTTCAACAGACCCAGGAAGAACCTTGTCGTGGTTCTGTTGCTCACAATCTGTGGATTTGTACTGCAGCCATATGGGGTGATAATGCGTTTCTATCCTTGAATTAAAGCTCTCACATTAACATGAGAACATCTTCCCCAGATTATCTGGATAGATGTATTTCTAGAGTTTAAAATTAAGACAGAGATTCCAGAATAAAAGCACAAAAGTATCTAATTTGATGTATCCCATGATACCTATTGGTACCATTATGATTTAGAGGTTTGAGAAAGTAGAAATGTATTAATATTAGGGGTAATATTTTGGAGTTCTATCTAAAAGAACGTATTTAGTGTTATGTGGTGTCTAGATCTATAAAAGGGATCCCAAACCAGGCCGTAGCTAGATGTTGCAGTTAGAATCTATGGGACACACTAACAGTAACATTGGCCGGCAGATCTCTGTCACTAATGGTGATATTACTACAGTTAGGATACAACCGCTAGTCCCCAAGGCTAGTAACAGCGAGTTTAGTAAGTAATCTCACCAACCTCAGCCTCAATGTAATATTGTTGGGTAAGCTTTTCACATTATTTAATATTTTTGGATAAACGTTTACAATTATTTCATATTTTGAATTTGGTAATTTTTTAACAAATTTTGCAAATCTTGAGTTCATTTATTTACTCCCTCATTTGGATGGGAATCTAGGGTGACATCGAATGTAATGCCAATGGCTAATCCGTTTGTAATTGACTAGTTTCAACTCTTGAAGACATTAGGACATTAGTTGATAAAACCACCTTGAGTTAGGGTTAGGAATACTTTTTAATTTGTTTGTACATAGTCTTAACACACTAACAAGCTCAAGTTCACTCAATAAGCACTTAAAAAGCACTCAGAAAGCCCTCGGTAAGCACTCAGTTATGCAATCAGTAAGCTCTCGGTAAGCTCTCAGTAAGCACTCAGTAAGCTCTCGGTAAGCACTCAGTAAGCACTCAGTAAGCTCTCGGTAAGCTCTCAGTAAGCACTCAGTAAACTCTCGGTAAGCTCTCAGTAAGCACTCAGTAAACTCTCGGTAAGCACTCGGTAAGCTCTCGGTAAGCACTCGGTAAGCTCTCAGTAAGCTCTCGGTAAGCTCTCAGTAAGCTCTCTGTAAGCTTTCGGTACGCACTTGGTAAGCACTGGGTAAGGTCTTAGTAAGCACTCTGTAAGCACTCTGTAAGCACTAGGAAAGCACTCAGTAAGCAGTCAATAAGCATTAGGTAAGCTCCCGGTAAGCACTTAGTAAGCACTCAGTAAGCACTCAATAGACACTCAGTAAGCTCTCAGTAAGCAATCAGTAAGCATTAGGTAAGGTCTTGGTAAACTCTCTGTAATAAGTTCTCAGTAAGCACTCAGTAAGCTTTTGGGAAGCACTCTATAAGCACTCTGTAAGCACTCAATAAGCACTTGGTAAGCACTTAAAAAGCACTATGAAGGGGGCGTGGCCTGGACCTGAAAGCAAACGGTCGCATGTACTGCTAGCTCAGTGGAATCTCAGCCCTCAAGCAGCTTCCAAGACACACTAGCACAAGGAGAGTGGTGTCCTGACCATGTCCCACCACAAGGACAAGCGGGCGATGGAAAAGCAGGACACACTGCACTTCTTTGGTGCCAAGCAAGGACACGCAAAGGCACTCACCAAATGGAGGACGCCCTCAGACTCGGACATATCTACATACCTAGATCAAATAACACTGCCCACTCTGACGGCACTACAACAGGACGCCCTGTCCCAGCCCATTACCCTGGAAGAGGTTATTGCAATGATAAAAACCTTGCCAAAAGGCAAAGCCCCGGGCAACTCTCACTATAGCATATTCTGCAAAGTGTTTGAACTTCTTTAACGAAGCCATACAAGCAGAGTCACTCCCAGAAGAAATGCAATCGGCACATATTATTACCCTCCCCAAACCAGGGAAACCACCGACATCCGCACAAAATTTCAGACTGATATCACTCCTCAGTACGGATGCCAAACTCCTAGCCAAACTCTGTTGACTCTTGTCAGTGTCTCACTGGAAAATACTGTATTTATTGTATCTATGCACTGAGCCTTGGACCTATACTCCCCTACATTATACATGACGACCAGGTGGGGTTTGTGATGGGATGCCAGGGGACTGACAACACCAGAAAGGTCCTCACCATAATGCATAGCCTCAAAGCATCAAATGAGGGAGGGCAGCATGTAATGGATAATATGTAGTGATGTCCCGAACGGTTTGCCGCGGTTCGCGGCGGTTCGCGGCGGACTCCGGTCAGCAGACACATTCCAGCCAATCAGCAGCAGACCCTCCCTCCCAGACCCTCCCACCTCCTGGACAGCTCACTAAGAATACAGCTTCAAAATGGATGCTGTCCAGGGGGTGGGAGAGTCTGGGAGGGAGGGTCTGCTGCTGATTGGCTGGAATGTGTCTGCTGACTGGAGTCCGCGGCGAACCGTTCGTGGCGAACCACGGCCAACCATGGCGAACCGTGGCGAACCGTGGCGAACCGTTCGCGAACCGTTCGGCGAACCGTTCAGGACATTACTAATAATCTGTTTATTCAGCAAAGAGTATTAAAAACAAATACTAATAAATATACAGTGTAAGCATTGTCTTAGTAACTTTTATATTTTTTACACTGTTTGGTTATTAGTATTTGTGAGTTTGGATACAAAATATACAATACGAATTTCTATTTTATCAGTGTTACACTTTTTTAGTTTTTTCTTCTTTTCATCTTTTATAGATAATACTATCCCCCTGCATTTGCTTTGAGGGGTAAGTGCTTACATATATTATAGTGCTGCATTCTTACTTGGTTGTTTTAGGTAGTGGATGTGGCAAAGATGCCTCTGCCACGTGTTCCTGAAGGGGCCTGCTGGCTAGCCTCCTACCCAAGGACCATAGTCCCCGTGTAAAAGACTGGGTTCAGGTGGTTTTCCTGGACTGTTCAGGAACTGATCCAACTCACAAACTACCAACCACCCGGGGGTCTTATTAAACCCTATTAACACCTTGTAACGATTCCAACCGCAGTTTTCTAAGTGTTCATCTGGGTGGCCACCGTTCAAATACACTGACAGCTGGTGGGGGCCATCTTGTTCTCCCAAATGCAGGCAGCGGTGTTTGGTCATTGAGTGCATGAAACTAAAATCGGACACTCGAACTGCCGAACACCACTGTTCGGTGGAATCGTTAGTCTGGATGAGGGGAACAAGCTCCACAGTTCAAATATAAAATATATTTGGTAGTTTATTCATTTCTAAACTACTGAACTTGACCATCAGCTTTTCTCTTGGAACTATTTTGGACAGGAGCCTCGTGTGCGGTCAGTCAAAAGTTGACTTTCATGGAACTCCCAAACTACCAAACCAATCTGGGTTATTTGGGGATATGTTGGTCACCCAAATCGGGGCTATCCGAGGATGTGACTCTTGTGGGGTTTCCATGAATTTGAGGGGTACTTTTGGGGTATTTGTAAATTGTGTGTTTTCTGTACCTGGAGATAATTGAGTTTGTATAGTTCCTGACTCAGTTATCTCTCAGGCACACGGGAGGTATTACCCTGTGACTTTGTGAGTGCCCAATTGAGTGTTTTCCAACAGCTTTGAATTTATCATCAGAAAAGCGCCTATCACATTTTTGTTGGCTTCTATATTTGCTGTGATAATGGATAGAAAACTGGATCTCATTTTATAGTAGAACTAAGTCTTTTCTATTTGTCTCTGTTATTTCTTAGCTTATTTATCTGGATTTAAATCTATTAAATATTTAACCATGAACCCACGAAGCATGTTTGCGTATAGTAAATTTTCCTGATTGTGAACGTTGCTCTACTATCCACAGGTTGTGCTAATGCTTCCTACCCAGCATGTTATCTAAAATGTGTTAGAATTGAGGACTTCATCAAAGTCTTCTAATTCTAAAACCCTTCACACTGAATACTTATAAAATAGCACTGGTTTATAACCAGAATGTCTTGTGCAAACCACAAATTGTGAATCCTATTGTACCTAGTTCTAATATACTCGATCTGTTTGGTGTTTATGCAGAGTCATAATGTTACAGTACGCAGGACACCTCAATGCCATGGCTGAACTCAACATATCCTCTATTGATCGAGGAAACTCTTCAAATAGAGAATTTTGGAACATTTGAAAATCCAAAACCATGACACTACAAGCCATTCTTTAACGTCTCATCAACCATTACAAAGAGGAATTCACCAGGAAATATTTCTTATCTGGAAGAAGATTAACGACATCTACTGGTTAGTTCACATGAATGGCTGAAACTGTAGTTATAGCCTCTATTTAAAATGTTTCATAAACATTTAAAATTATGTTTTCAAAATAATATAAAAAAAATCACATTAAAAACTGAAATAAATATTGCAAAAATATCAAAATGTTAAAATATTCAAATCGTTTTCAAAATATAACACAAAAGAAAGCGCAACCAAAAATCAATATTAAAAGAATACCTATAAAAATAGTACAAACATTACAATAGTAATATTGTCTCAGAGTGTTGAAGGTACAATTTATATTAAATGAAATAATAGTAATAATATAATAATATAAATTTGATCCATTTAAAAGTTTAGCCAAAAACATTTAATCATTTGAAAAGCTTAAAAAAAAATCGTGTTTCTTTTTAATTTATTTATACTTTATTATTGTTATAAGCCTCGGTATAAACCATATTGTGTTTTTTAATGTATTTATTAAATATGTAATTTCTTATTGATTGCACATATTGTTCCTCCTGATATTTGTATTTCCTGTTGTCCAGTAAATATTTTAATTATACCATTTGACCTCTCTGTTAATTTTTTGCCAGCCTTTAGTGGAGTGCTCACATGTACCTATTTTAGTTTGGGAAAAGCATGGTGTCACACTAAACGGATAATTCTAATTACAAATGCGTGTTAGTAGACTCTATGCATCCTCATACAGCGGAACATTAACAGTTACACATATAAACATATAATTCTAGCGTTAAGCACTTACCCTCTAATTAAAGAGGTTGGTAAATGCCAGGTGTCCGATTTCGCCAATTATCAGCTGTACGGCGGCCTTGCTGCAACTAACAGGGTTATTCTCTAAACTCTGAACTCTTCCAGATTAATTCTGAAAGGCAAAGCTGAGGCAAAAACAGCTGTGACTATGGCAATGTTGGAGACATTTTCCAGAACATATGTTATTGCGTAAATATTTCACTCAGATTTTATTTGTAAAAGTTTTAATGAATAAACCTGTAAATGTTCTGAGATTCCATTTTGTATTGGTTTCTTTTTAACCATTTATAATACCTTCTCCCATGATTCCGACTTCAACTGGGCCTTGGAATTCCATCGGTTAGGGGAAGCCTCAGGCAGGTAATAATAGGGGTAAAATCACCAGGTTAAATTCCCGGTCAGGCCACCTTGGATTAAGAAGTCCATGTCAGATTCTTGTAAACAGGGCAATCTGATGACAAGTAGGCTACTGGAACAAACCATTCCTGGACATGGAGTGAGAACCTAGACATTCTATAACAGCAGACCCAATGAGAGGGGCTACATGGAAGGACATGATGGATAAATGACCATCATCTACACTTTCACCAAAACATATATAACACAAAAGCATAATGTGGAGCTAATAATATTTCCCTCTCTTCTTAATACAGCCAACAATGCTGAAACAGAAAAATTATCCTTATTAGTGCAGATTATCCCTATTACAGCATACACATATGAGGATCTCAATAAAGCACACTACAAGAATAGAGCCATATAGAGAACCTGGCTCTGGTGTGTATATCCTTAGGATACTTTTTGGGGAGATCCAAACCCCACTTTAGATGGTATAAGTGTGATCCAATATTCTCCCAAGAATGATACGTGGCAGGAATTAGGAAAAGGTCACGTGATCGCTCGATCACATGACTGCAATAGGTGCCTGTGTATCTGCCTGCAGGGGAACTGTCTGTGCTGACAGGCAGTCTCCCTGGAAGTGAAAAATCAGAAAATAAAGTTTAAAAAAAATTAAATCTGTGTAAAAAAAAATATAAGTGTAATTTTTGAAGACAAAAATGAGTCTTTTAAAACAGTAAAACATATCACAGCGATGATATTGTCAGTGAAAGTGAAGTTTTTTGCAATTTTCACACACAAACGGCACTTTCACTGGTGATATTATTGCTGTGCTGGGTTTTACTGTCACAGAAAAGAAATTGATACAAACGGAGAAAAAATTACAGGACAGAAATAAAATGTAAATTACCTATTGGACTAAAAAAATAAAAATAAAAAGGAATCCAACATCAAGTACAAGGGGGTGAATAAAAAAAAAAAAAAAATATGAGATAGAATCCACAATAAAACATAATTTAGGTACCCCTCTCTGTTTCCAGTATGTATCATACGTTTAGATTCGCTTTCACGCAGCGTCTGGCGCAGCTGATAGCCCCGGCGATCAGGGCCCTAGGCAAAAGTAAAGTTTGCCGCTCCCACCCCAATGTGACATCACAATGCCCCACCCATATGATTTGCCATGTTAACCAACGCCAGTGCTGCAGTGTCGCCGTGTTTACATTAAAAGGCCTGCAGGGACAGGCTATAGACACCAGAACCACTACATTAAGCTGAAGTGGTTCTGGGGACTAGAGATTAGTGCCACGAATAATACGCTAGATTGCCTACTTACAATCAGATGAGGATGATGGTGGGCTCTAGCTGCAGTCTGGCTCCACTGGTCTGGTGTAGAACAGGCTCTCTGGAGGCTGTTTGTAACTGTGGTCACAAAAATCAATGTTCTGGGAGAACGGGAAGCAGCTCCATTTTTTAAGGCCCTTTCCACAGCTCAAGGTCTGGGTTCCAGGGTCCACCTTCATGTTCCACCAATGAGTTTGTTCACAGGGGGTGGAGTAGGGGGATGTCCGGATATGTGTGTAAGGAATGCATTGTGTGAATCTGTGTTTGTATGTGTAAGGGCTGCAAGGTGTGTTTCTGTGTATGTACGGGATGCATTGAGTGTGTGCATCTGTAAGGGGTGCATTGAGTGTGTGTAAGGAATGCATTGTGTGTTTCTGTGTGTGTAAGGGATGCATTGTGTGTAAGGGTTGCATTGCTTGTGTGTGTGTGTGTGTGTGTGTGTGTGTGTCTGTGTGTGTAATGCATTGTGTGTTTTTCTGTGTGCAAGGGGTGCATTGCCTTTGTGTGTAAGGGGTGCATTGTGTGTGTGTGTGATGGATGTCAATCTCTTCTCCCCCATCTCCCTCCCTTGTCCCTCTCTTCTCCCCCCCTTGTCCCTCTCTTCTCCCCCCTCCCTTGTCACTCTCTTCTCCCCTGCTTGTCCCTCTCTTCTCCCCCCTCCCTTGTCACTCTCTTCTCCCCTGTTGTCCCTCTCTTCTCCCCCCTCCCTTGTCACTCTCTCTCCCCCGTCCT